GGGGCAGAGAGCGGCAGGTACCGCTGGCCTTCGGGAGAGGGGGCGCCAAGAGGGAGGCCATGCCATTTCACTCTACGTCAGGAAGTCCCCCTTCATCCCCTCTCCCTGTCCCCAGGGCCCGGAGAGCCCAGCTGCTCCAAGTCAGCTCCTCAGTGAGTCCCCTCCAAGTCAGGCAGAGCTGAGCCCCGGGGCCCACCTAATCCTGGAGGGCAGCTGTGTGTCGACCCCATCCCTGACAAGGAAATGAGGCATGGAGCATCGGGGCCGCCCTCAGCCACAGCCAGCAGGAGGGCAGACACTGGAAGCCAGATGTGCTCTCCTGGCCCTACCTCTGGCCACTGACTGTCCTCGAAGCCCGGGCTGAGCTGACACTGCAGGTGCTTGGGTAGCCTTTGGAGGGGCCTGTCACCCATGGGGGACTTGGGGGGATACCCAGGCTGGCATGGGCCGTGCTGTGAGGGTCTGAGGATCTGTGTCCACCCACCTCCCTACAGACCCTGACCAGCCCCTGGACCCTTGGATTTTTTCCCACCCACAACCTGACCTCCCCTTTAGCGCATGGCACCCAGGCACCCAGGAGGGTGCCCCAGACCCCCTCTCCCAGCAATGCAGGCCCTCCCTGACCCTGCCTGGTCTGCGCGTGCCCAGAAACCCTGCACCCCTCGGAAGGCCCAGATATGTGGTGAAGGCAGGGAGTGGGGCGCTTACTTGATCTCAGTCTGGCCGCCCGCCTTCCGGGCGATCTGCACCAGCTCCTTCCCGTAGCGCTCCTCTGCTTGCGCCCTGCGAGGACAAAGCACCCAGTCTACTCTGGTTCCCAGAGTCTGGAGACAGGCACAGCCTTCCCAGAAATCGAAACCGGCCAGCTACGCCCACCTGGAAGTACGGCATATGGCCCCTGCACGTGGGGACTCCCGACTCGCTGAAGCAGGGCTGCTCTGACGGCACCCGGCCACCAGCCCACCAGCCGACGCTCACCTCTGCCGCAGCAGCTCCTCCACGTCCTTGCACATCTTCCGGCCATCCAGCAGCCGCTGCAACAGCACCTCGTAGCCCGTGTGCGCCGTGAAGTCCCTGCACTGGACACAGGACAGAGGGCACGTGAGGGACGCACCAGGTAGTGCAGGCCGGGGACCCTCAGCCACCAGGAACAGCCTGTCCTGTCTCCACCTCCCTGAGTCAAGGTCATGTTTGGGAATTCAAGGCGAGTCTCGCACGGAGGCCCCACACCTGTGCGCCCGCCTGGCTGGCCGGCAAGGGTGTGTGCCCAGCTGGCACCAGAGCCGGCACCCAGGGCTGCAGAAGCCCCAGCGAGGCGGTGGGGAGGGCCAGCACCGAGGGCCATGATGACAGCAGCACAAAGGCCTCTCAGTGCCTGGCCCCTTGGGACCCCCAGTAACCAGGCTCTCAGCAGAACAAGCACACAGGGGCGTGGTGTGAGGGGCCAGAGGTCTCCAAAGATCCTCAGCCCTAGGGGGGTGGCCCCAGGGCAGGCTGCCCACTCCCACTCTCCAGCACTGCTCACGTGGCTTCCCCAGGGGAGGCAGTGGGTCCTGGGAGGGGCAGGAGCTTCTCTCTCCCTGGAGTCCTGCTCTTCAACCCCAGCTTGGCTGCAGACTCGGCCAGTCCTGAGATCTGGCATCTAGTCCGTCTGTCCCCATGGACACCTGGAGCCCCACACCCCATCTCCCAGCGCTCAGGGTGACACACCTCACCTCAGTCAAAGCCTCCTGCTCCTCCCCACCACAGACCTCCCTGCAAACCGCGGGGGTGTGGGGAGTAGGGCTGGGAGCTGCAGTCAAGGAGAGCTCTCTGCAGAGGGGCACCGGAACTGGGCCGTGGGGGCGTTCTAAGGAGAACCTGACGTGGGCACAAGGGCAGAGACGGCGCGGATCGTCCAGCCAGCCCCACGCTCCAGGCTGTCAGGCCCATGTTTGTCCTCCATCCTGGCAATTCCTCAGGAAGACCTGACGAGGATCAGCTGCCATGTGGTGACAGCAGGGCAGCTGGGCTCTGGCTGGCCACCCGGATCCCAGCAGAAGGGAGTGGCCCCCACGTCCAGCTGGTGTCGTGGGCCGGGCGGGGCCAGGCCTCCCTCTCTGAGGCTGTCGTGGGCAGCCACGTGCCTATTAACCAGCCAGCAAACCACAGCTGGTGCCCCTCGGCCTCTGCCCTCTCCTAGACCCCAGATCGAAACGTGCAGCGACCAGAAAGACAGGTGAGCCCCTGCCTCCCCCACCGCCCTACAAGGGGTCTCTGAGCTGGACAGCAGCATTTGGTCAGACCGCCGCAGACCGACCCCAGGACTGGGAAGCATCGTCTCCAGGGCCCCTCAGTCCTTGGGAGGAAAGGGCCCGCCTGAGGCCATGTGGGCACCAGGACGAGAAATGACTCCCAGGACCTGTTCTTACTTGGCCATGCTGTCTGCCCCTGCCGCCCCACTCCAGGAAGCCTTCTCTGTCCTATCCAAGGCCCTTGGCATAGAAAGAGAAGCAAAACCAAACCTACACTGGCCATCCTGGAGGAGGCGGCAGGCGGTAAGGGGCCCCTCAGGCTTGGTCCCCGATGCGCCGCAGGCTCCAGACCATCCTGCCCTGCTCGCTGCCACCTCAGTACTAGCCGGCTGAGTGAGACGTGGTCACTAGTGACCAGGATGTTCCGAGGAAGCGCCTGGCCCCAGGGGCTGCTGCTGGTGCCTCCTAGCCCTGCACCCCGCCCCGGCCACCTCCCGAGGGACAGGGCTCTGAGTCACTGCCAAGAGCTGGGAGAGCAGGGCTCTTGCTGCTGAGGAAATAAATGAAGCAGAGTCACTCCCCCGG